ATATATATATATATATATATATGTGATTTAATAATATATATATATATATATATATATATATATATTTATTCATATCTTAGTATATATATATATATATATACATACATATATATATGAGTATATACATATATATATATATATATATATTTCATATAATATAATATATATATATATATATATACATAATGATGAATAAATATATATATATATTATGTTCATAAAATGAATAAATATATATATATACACATACATAAGATAAATAAATAAATATATATATATATATACATATATAATAAGATGAATAAATATAATATATATATATAATAATTTTACAGACATAAGATGAATAAATATATATATATATATATATACATACAGACATAAGATGAATATATATATATATATATATATATATATATATATCACATACATATTCTAATATGAATAAATATATATATATATATACATACATATATCAGATGAATAAATATATATATATATATATATACACACACATACATACATAAGATATATATATATATACACATATATTTACATAAGATGAAATATATATATATATATATATATATATATACACATATTTATAAAAGATGAAATATATATATATATATATATATATATATATACACACATACATAAGATGAAATATATATATATATATATATATATATATATATATACATACATACATAAGATAAATATATATATATATATATATATATATATATATATACATACATAAGATGATATATATATATATATATATATATATATTTTGTGTATTTAGGCAGTAATCCTTCTTTCATGCACATTTCATTGAATACGACAGACAAAGGTGCTTTTATTTAGTTTTTTTATACAATTTCTCATGCGATCTAATAATTTTTTTCTTTTTAGATGATAAATTATATAAAAACTGTCCCAATGTTCTTTTTATCCAAGTGCTTTCAGCTATACATTTAGCCATTTCCAAGACTGAACTATTTTAACTGTTAAATAAGAAGTAGTTTGTTGCATGTATAATGTTTTCATTTTCAAAACACGGTCAACGTATAATGTCCATTTTCATAGTTGGTTTTGAGTGTTGATTTTTTGTTTTTATTAATAAAACTTCCATTATTTTTAGCCTTTTATTGCCTGTAGATGATGCTATTATATTTGTGTTGTCAACAAGTATGTTACGAATAATATCGTGTAGGTCTCCATGAATATTTAAATGACATCTAATCGAGCTATGGTCAGAAAGGTGTTGAGTAAGTCTGTGTCCAACATGTTGTAGTATGGCCTATATAATTATTTACAAATTTCAATTGATCAGGAATCTGATTTCTTAATGAGCATTTAAATTTGTAAATAATATTTGTCCTATTTAATTTTATTCTAAGAGGTGAATTATTATTTTTAACTATAAAGTTAGAGGTTTTAAATTTTTTGTAATAAATAATTAATCTAATTATATTGCTATTGTCATCTGACTTTGTGCATATTTTAATAATGTTCTTAATTCTACTTTTGTCTTGTTTATAATTTTTGTTCATTTGATTTTTAGAAGAAATATTGATGTTATTGTTTGTGTTTCTTTTCTCATCGTTAAATTAATATTTTTATTTTTACAAAACAGTGCTCAATGCAAATCTATGAAGCATAAATATTATAAATTTACTTATTTAAAAATATGGTTCCATTGCTACACAGGAATTACCATGTTTCAAAAATAGAAGCTAAAAACTTTGAATTCAATTATAGAATTAAATTAAATTAAATTAAAGTCCCTAGTTCTGTTTCATTTTCAAGTGAATTTTTAATATATATATATATATATATATATATATATATATATATATATATATATATATATTTATATTCATATTTCTTCATTGTTGACCTATATTCTGAACTGAACCATTATTATCACTAACTAAGGACACCCCAGCAGTATCACCAGACTTTGGAATTTGAAAGACATCATAGGTTTAGCACATTTGTAGAGTGTTGTAATAAATTTCCTTTTATCTGTGTTATTCATTGCTAGAAAGCTCTAATTTGAACAACCAGTGTCAAATTACCCTCTTAGCTGTTTTCGCTCACCCTCACATATCAGATCTTCATATTTTTCCAGCTTTCAACCATAAGAGCTGTTAGTTCCACAATGTGCACTGTTTTGAATTTCCCATTCAGATAACTACATTGGAAGACCCAGTTTGAAATCAGATGCGTAATTTCCTCTTTTTCTATTTGTCAAATGTTTGCTATCATTTTTTAGCTCTAAAATGACCTAAGCAGACTGCATGCACAATTTCACCAAAAGGCATTTACCCCAAATGGAACTTTTCAAACTCTGATGCTGTATAAATAATTTCTTCTTAACTAGCTTCCATTTGTCATCCTCATCTTCCAGCCATTTAATCCAAACAAAATGAAACGCATCTGTACTATTTCTCCTAGTATATTCTGCAACACTTGATAATCTTGGGACTTGACATGCTTTCTGGAGCTAGAATTTGTTATCACTAAACCAGGGGGATACCACACAATTTCACAATATGTAAAAACATTTTTCACTACATTTAGTTTTAAATCTTTATTTAAATATATAAGGTTAAAAATGACAAGAAAAGTGATGCAAGTAATGTAACATCTATGGAAGAAGTGTGTGGACTATGTTGAAAAATAAACTTCATTTGGTCGCATTCTATAAGAATATCTTAGTTAGGCTATGAACTTTTCAACCCTCATAATAACAAAATTGATAAAACATAAATAAAAATAAACTAAATGCTATCAGCTAGTCTATATACATAAACACATTTTTAAAAAAATAAAATAAAATTTTTAAATTTGAATTCAGCATCCTCTCTCTTTCATATGTATGCATAATTACTTCACATAGAACTGTTTGCACACTGACACATTCCTTTTAAAAAAACATGAAAAGCGTAACTGATCTTAGGAAGCCTATTAAAAAGTAGTTGCCCATTTTGATAAATTGCTAAGCATGAAACAGATATAAATGAGTAAAAAAAAAGCAAAAATGTGATTTTTTATATGTATTGAAAAGTTTTTTAAAATAATTTAAAATAGAGCCCTCTTATCTATGTAAGAAAAGGAATATACAAATATGTAAGATCAAAAATATCAAGAATTAGTAAAACTTTGCATGAAACAAGGCTGGAAAGTTAGCTAATTTCCTATTGAAGTGAGCTGTAAGAGTTTTGCCATGAAATTCTTATACAAAGCTGTAACAAGAATCAGATTGACTGGCATCAGAAAAATCAAAAAAATTATTGAATTTTCTTGCATTGAAATTTTTTATTTCATTATTTTTTTCTTTGTTGCTGGTAAGAAGAAAAGAAAAATGAATAAAATTAGATAAATTCGCTGAATAAGCAAGTACAAAACACAACAGAGCTTTCTCTAGATTATTCTGTGCAAAAAAAAAGCACCAGATGAAACTGGTAACTTAATTATAATTAAATCAACAGCAGCTGACCAATGAAGTCACTAAAATTTTGGAACCATCAATCAAACTACCAAAGAGATAATTGGAGATCTATGAAACCCTGATTAGTTCAACCGAGTGGGAAGGGAGTCTGATATTGAAAGCCCTGAAGCACCCCATAATCCTGATTATAAAATGTCACTGACACCCCCACCACCACCATATTGAAAAGTTCATCTTGTGAAATTGTTGTGGAGTTATTTCGCAGTGGAGGCTTGTATTTGTACTAAATCAGTCCTAAATAGTTCGACGTACAAAACGTTAGAAACTTGATATAATAGGTATTATGCAGAGTAATCTTGTTGTGGTCGCTGACTACTTTCGTATTCAACTAACTGTTGACTAATGTCGTCCGACATCGACTGACCCACGTTTCTCTTACTACTCCTACTTATATTAGGTGGGAGAGTCTATTAACTATAGAATAGGTGTGTTTCACCATAACAGAAATATATATATATATATATATATTTTTTTTTTTTTTTTGAATGGTATGTCCATTTAGAACATCATGATCATGACTCTTCATAGATTCTTTTTCTTTATTGTCTGTGAGTTACTATGACTTATTGGGAAAGATAGTGGAGCAGTTTCTTACTGCTCCCTCCATGATTTTGGAATTCAGAGTATTCCTTCTCTTAGACTGGCTGCTACCCATTGTCAGAGAGCCTTCTATTTAACTCATAACTGAAGAGAGAAAGGGATGGATTCATGGCTTTCCCCAGGGCAAAAGTTAATGCAACAGGCTAAAATAAATTAGGTGAAGGATAAGTATCTAGAAGAAAACTTTACCAATACAAAGCCTGCTAAAAAGAAACCAACACCTACCTTAATAAAAATCAACAATGTCTATAGAATTAAGAAACTTGAAATGGGAAACCAAATTAGGAGAGAGCAATAACAACAACAAATCTGTCTGAAGACAACAATCTGCAACTGTTACTCTGGTTTTCTCACCAACCACATGGAAAATTACAGACAAACAGATGCACACACACACACACACACACACACACATATATATATATATATATATATATATATATAAAATAAATATTGTAAATTCTACAAAATACAGGATCAGTGTAAAATATACAGAGCAATATACAGTATCTAATATAAAAAGATCTAAAGTATCTTATATATATATATATATATATATATATATATATATATATTATAGGAAAAATTTAAGCCAGTGGAACAATTGATGTGGAAGTGACCTAGTCATTTAATCAGGTGTTTGCCTCATTTCTACTGTTAAGTAAAACTCATTGTTTAATTTGTTTTTATGTCATTTATTTCAAAATTGTCCTTTCAGAAGCTTGAGAGAATTGTAAAGAAAATGATTGTTGAGTGAAAAGAAAAGATTTGGCAGTGGGGTGGCAGTATTAAGAAAAAAATGAACTGATAAAACAAATCCTCCATCTTTGTTATTCATTTTCTGCTGGATTTCATCCTGCTTTCCTTTTAGCCTCAAATGATTTCTTTTTTTTTTCTTTCAATTTTCATTGGACTTAGCTTCTTCTTTTTTTCTATTGTTCATCTATTCGCTTCATTAGCAGTTTTATTTGATTAGATTTTTTTTTTGTAGTTTTTTGCCTTTTTCTCTCTCTTTCATCTTAGTTTTACATTTTCTTTTTGCTTTATTTTCATCTCAGCTGTTCTTTTCTCATTAGCAGATTTCATTTCATTAAAGTTCTTTTGTAGATTTTGTCTTTTTTCATTCCTTTTTTCCTTTCCACTGCTTTTCTTATTATTTTTTTTTTTTTTGCTTTCCATTTTCTTTTCACTTCTTTTTTCTTGTCATCTTGGCCGTTTTCTTATTTTTCAATTGTTATTCTTCAGTTATTTCTTTCTCCTTCACTCAGCTTCAACTGTGCTTTTCTGTTTTCTTATTTTCATTTTAATTTTACAATTCCTTTCAATCTTCATTTTTATTTCTCTCCCTTTTTCCAATTTCTTTCTTTTTCACAAACACAATGGAAGCTGATTCTTACTGACATCCATATTTCTTTTTTCTTTCCTCTTTTGCTTTCACACAGAGTATCAAACATTTGGGTCTTGAAGTGACTTTCTGAGACATTTGCAAGTGAATTTTTTTGATTTTTGTTCACACATTCTTTACAGGAATTGTTCTGAGTATATCATATCTTAAGCACTAATAATAGTTGTTATTTTCACAGTAAGAGAGGACATCTTTGCAGAAAAATACTATGAATGCACCAGGAAACATTTCTGATATGCAAGGATAATTGGACCATTATTGTTGCTTTTTCAGAAACATTTTTGCTTATATTATAAAAATAGGGAATTTCAGAAATATCTGATCTGCTAAAAACATTAGGGAATATTTGATCTACTAAAAAAATAGGGAAGTTTGGAAATATTTGATCTGATAAAAAAAAAATTCAGGTTACAGAAATCATTTAATTATGATTGTAATCTTTTTTTTTAAATACTGATCTTGAGTTATTTCTGCTAACAATATATGCATACACGTGAATAGATAATCAACATTTTATATATTTAATTACCTTTTAAGGTTTTAATTAGGCATACACAATCAAACTTCTTTTTTAGTTTTAGTTTTTTCAAGACATATGCAACATAGCAATGAAAGTAATAAATATAAAAGGTTTTTGAATTGCAATTATATTATTTACTCTATTTATATACAGAATATTATCTTCTTTTTTTGTTATTGTTATCACAGTATTTTGGCCATTGTATATTGATCTTGAGAATCTAAAGGGAATTCTGATCTGAACCTTTTATTCCACTGCCTGAGATTTACTTGACTACCCACCCCCACACTGAGCAAGGTCGTGACACAATATCGGTTTTTAATGGGGAGACCCAAGTATTTGCACATAGGCCGCTGGTCTAAGCTGGTCATACCACTGCTACATAACAGATATCACACAACGGTGGGGGGGGATGCAAGTGAGGAGAGAAGGCCTCTGATACAGAACAGATACTACATCTGCAGTATGCATCCCAGCAGGAAAAATCCACTTCTCTTCCCCTGACAATCCCTTTGAAAGAATCCATGTCTAAGGATATCATTTAGTCCTTATTTATATTACTATACTCAATTATTGCTCACCTGTTTCCACCGAGTGCAAGTACATACTGCTCAGCCCAGGGATTGAACATACAACCACTGTGTCACCATATTCACAAACCCATGCTAGGCCATTGTTCAATTGGGGTACTGAACCTTAAACCTAACATGCCAGCTGATTAATGTTGCAACTGCTGCTGCCTGTCATGTTTTGATTGCTGCTTTGCTGTCATTTGTATTTCTTTCTTTCTTAGTGGCTCCCATATTGTATTTATTTCTACGCTGGGCCTACTAAGGAGATCCTCATAGTCTAGTATAGGTGCCGATTCTTTCAGACATTTAATCTCTGAACTCTTAGATGTCTGAAAGAATCAGCACCTATGATAGACTATACTACCTCCTCAGTAGGCCTAGCATAGAAATAATTGTATTTTTAAGAAATTTAGGAATCCATTGTATAAAAATGAATTTTAACTTTGATAAGAATTAAATATGGGGTGTAACAATTTCCAAAGCAGTTCACACTATGTATTGCCTATTTCTTTTCTACTCTTTTTACTGATGTTACTGAGCATATTATTATGATTTTCATCAAAATGATTATAAATGTAAGAAATTTGAGACTGCTCTTAGAAAAGATTTTCAAGATATTCAAAAAGCATATTTTGGTTACTTTTAAATATATATCTCAAAAGATAAGAAAATTGTTCATACATTTTTTTTTTTTCAGATTTGTTTGCATCTCCCAAAAGGGAATTTAAAATATATTACAAATACTTACTGTGTGTAATAGATACTTTTCAAGATTAGATTCACATATGATTTCAAACTTACATATATATATAAGAGTGTATGTGTGATTTCCAAAACTCACACACACACCTGTATATATATATGATTTTATGCATGTTTTGAATATATATATATATATATATATATATATATATATATATATATATATAAAAAAAATAAAGTTATGCTAAAAGGATTCAACCAAAATATTTCTGGAAGGTAATTTTTTTAAGCAAGCAGTCTTTGTAATTACATATGGCTAATATACTAATAATAATAATAAGAAATAATAAATATAATGTTTAATTATCTTTACTCTAAATCCACTCAGAAGATAAAAATATTTTTGATCAGACAAATATAATGAGTGGAACTGTGAAGCTCTGATTAGTTATATATATATATATATTTATAAAATTCAAACTTTGACAAAAAATATTTACTCAAAATATGGCTTAATTAAAAAATGGACTCAATACAATTTAAAAAAAAAATTTAAGATATAAAAACTTGAAATACCAATCTTTACACTTCAGTTCATTTTTGGTGTTACAAAGAGTTTTGTTAGTTTCTTGCTTAACTGCACTTCACACAGTCAAGGGTGTTGCAGTCTGGGGAGTTATATAGCCAGATGTAAGGAGTGATGTATTCACAGAAATTGTCTGACATCCATGACTAGGTTCTCCTGCTTATATGGCATGGTGCAGATTCCTGTTGCCAGACATAGGGTCTTCCAGCAGCCACTCTCTTTAACAAGGGTAGCACTACCTCCTCAAGCACTTGATGTAGGCATCTGTGTTGAATCAGATTGACGCCTAAACACTCTGAAGTGTTTGTATTGGAGCTTTCAGCATAAATTCCAAGCAGTACAGCATGTTGTTGGTGGAATGAATTTCATCTTAGTGCTCTTTTTCATACAGACAGTGCCCAACAGACCCTGCTATACTGTACAGTTGACAAAATCAAAGACAAACAATGCACATGTGTGAAATTAAAAATATAAAATGGTCATAATTTATCCATTGCACTATATATATATATATATATGTGTGTGTGTACACACACGGAGAAAAAAAATTCAAACTCCCAACAATTGCTAAATATTTAACTTAATGTAAAAATAATGCAAATGAGAAAATCTGAAATCAATTGCTGAAACCTCCTGATGAGTGGACAGAATTACAAAATAAAAATGTCTTCTATGAAACTTGAGATGCTGAATATAACAATCAGGAAAGTGACAAATTTTATTTGTATTAATCCTCTCTCTCTCTATATATATATATATATATACACACACACACACACACACACAAGGGAGTGGTAAAATGTCTCAGTATGAACCATTCGACCAAATGACCAAACATTAGATTTCTGGAGAAAGACTTTGTGTTTGGGGGCTCAAGAACTTTTCATCCATCCCCCCTCAAATGCATGTGTGTGTGCCTATTTATAGTTGACCCATTCCTTCATATACATGACCTAATCTTTCATCTTTCTCAGACACTTTGTACTTGCTTAATTTTTTTTCTTTTCTTCTTCTTCTTTTGGAAGGAGGAAAAAACAATTTCCTGGCCTGTCCCTGGTTAAAACATTTTTGTTAGAGGATAATTTTAAAGTCATTAAGTGCAAACCACGGTATTTTTCACTTTGTTGGTTTAAAAAAAAAAATGAAAATAATTTACCAGCTGCAGGCAACATTTTTTATTTTATATTTATATATTATATATTTATAATTTTTATTATTTTATATATTTTTTCAAGAAAAAAAAAAAAACAGGTTTTATTTTATTTTCCACATATCTATCTAGATAAATTCATCTTAAAACTAACCTTATTTATATATATATATATATATATATATATATATATATATATTTTTTTTTTCTTTTAATATTAATTTGCCAAAAGGTCTATGAATTTGTTAATATTTTTCATGTGAGCATTTGTGATGATTGTTCTAAAAATTCTCCATTTCTGTCAACCTTTTGCTGTAAACATCCTGATATGCTCCTGATTCACTGTCAAAAAAAGTTTGGTAGGAAAGTTCACAAATTTTTTAAAAATAGATTGGATCCTAATTTCTATAAATATCTTTATTGATTTTTAATGTTTTGTCAGTTAAATTTTCTAGTCAGTTGCTGCATGTGAATTTTGTCATATTACTTTCATTCCTTTATTTCTCAGTCAAATAAAAATATCAAAACTATTGATGCTCAGTAAACTATTTTAAATTGTATAACTGTTCTCTAAATCCAGCATTTGCTTTATTCTTCCTTTTACAGAAAATGTATCATTTTTAGATTTTCTTGTTGGTAGAATTAATCAAGCATTTCCAGATATTTTTAGTCAAAGCATTAGTCAAGTTTGACTAGATGTTTGTATTTTTAGCAATAGTCAAGTATTTCTAGATTGTAAATCTCCCAAACATTTTGAATATTTGATAGGAAACATGGGTTTGTTAGAAAAAAAGATGTCAGACAATAAATTTTTTGCAGAACTTTATGCAAGATACCCTTTCAGAATATAATAAAATTGTATCCCTGACATATACAAATGTCATTTCCTGTTGGTTCATATATATTGGACTAGTTGGGACATTTTTAAAATTAAAAGAATTAAAATTGAAAAAATTTTGTCAATTTCATGTTTTCATATAGTAATCCTGATAATTAAAATCTATTTTCAAAATTAAATCAAAAGTGTGATTTATGATTTTATATTTAAAATGAATCTTTTAGCAGGAGGAATTCTATTTACTTTAACCCTTCATTGCCATTTTTTTTTTTTTTTTTTTTGCATTCAATTGTTTGATATTTAATTAAAACGTTATAAAAATAATCTAAAAATAAACCTTAAATTTTATAATTTTTAATACATTTTTCTACTTCATTTTATTATTTCCAAAATTTTGAAAAACTGTTCAAACAAAAAAAAAAAAATTTCATAAAAATTTTGTAATATTAATGTTCTATAAAAACAGTGTAAAATTTCTTTCCTCTAAGCTCCTTATAGACATAGATCTTGGCTTAATATATTTTAACAGTAAATAAATAACCAAAATTTAATTCTGAACCAAATTACAAATGTCTGAAAAAAAATTATGAACAATTCTTTATGCATTTATTTTACCCTCTACCTTGAGTAATTTCTTGGGCTTTGTATTGGGTGAGCTTTTTTTTAAAAA